AAAAAATATTTAAGTATCCATTAAAAATAAAAAAGCCAAAATTGTTATTCAGAAAAAGTTTATAAATTATTACATGTTTTTTTTAAATTCACAACATAAAAAAATTATAATATAATTATCATTTAACAATTAAAACCAAATAATATTAAATTGTTAATTTTTATTATTTATCAATGCAAAAAACTAATTATTATTTAATAATTAAATGTCTCGAAACCCTTCCGAAAACGACAGTAATTCTTATGAAAAATTTTCACCTGTGGGTCCTGTTCATATACTATCTCAAAGAAAAAAGATATGATTATATACGAAAATCACTGCTTTAAAAAAAATAAGGGAAGGGTATTATTTATGTGTTGCACCTAAGTGCAAAGTCCATTTAATTGGATTAACTGATGATTCTCTTCATTGTGGTAAAACGACTCAACACATCGATGCCGAACAAAGTTTCAAGAAGAAGCTTTATCAAAATCAAATAAAGAAAGAACTATCACTCAATATAAATCTCAAGAAAATGACACCAAGAACTTTATTGACTCATTTCAAGAGAGGATCAATATCTACTTCAGACGCCACACTTAACAAATTTATCAAAAGAAACATTGATCGCCCACCAAATCCCAATACAATTGAAGAGATTGTTGTTAATAATTACACCAACATTTTATATCATAACAATAAAAACACCACTCTTCTTTTTGGTGATATGGAACAATTGAAGCTACTTTTATCTGCAAAAATGATATGTATGGATGGAACGTTTTTAGCATGTCCCACACTTTACTCTCAACTGTATTCGATTCATGTGGTTTTACCCAATGATCAACACTTTCTGGTTGCTCATATTCTGATGAATGAACGTTCTGAAACATCATATACTCAATTGTTCATATCTCTGGAAAATTTACTTGGACAATCCCCTTTCAAAAGAGCAGTCTTGATAATGTCTGATTTTGAAAAAGGTTTAATTGCGTCACTTTCTAAATTTGTAAATTTTGGACTCGTACACAAAGGATGTTTTTATCACCAGAGACAAGCAGTAATTAAGAAAATAAGAAAATTTGGTTTGATCACCACATACAACAACCATAGTGTGTTGTTTGAAGCTGTCCAATTAATGTTCGGTTTGAGCTTTTTAAAACCCAACGAAGAAAGAGAAGCGTTTGATATTTTGAAAGTATGGTATGGCAGTTGTAAAGAAGTCGTTCGAATATTTGAATATTTTCAAAACACGTGGATTTGTGGCAGTTTTCCTTTGATGATGTGGAATCAAAGAGGTGCTTTGATTCGAACAAACAACATTTGTAAATCATACCACTCTAAACTGAACAAACGTTGTGGAGGACAAAAGACGTCTTTCAACAAATACGTCGAAATCAATGGAGAAATAATTGAAGAAACTCGAAAAGATATTAAAAAAATGAAAATTGGAATTCGTCAACCGACAATAAAATGAGTAGAGTGTTCAACAGAAAGACTTAATAATATTGTAGATGATTACGAAAAGAAAGTTGTAACACTTTATGAATGTTTGAAAACCGTCGCTGGTGTTTTTGAAGATCACAAGGCAAATATTGTGATTGATGATGAGCAAACAAGCGAAAAATAAAAATATAGTTATTTAAGCAATATAATTTTTCATTGGTTTTATAATAAATTGGTAATTTGATTGTAAAATAAATTTATTAAATAATACTATATTATTTAATAAACAGAATAATACAGTTGAGTAAGTAAAAAATTAGACAACATTAAAATGTGGTATCTATTTTATTAGTTTTTTATTTATTTTTAATATAAGTAAAATATTTTACTATTAAAAATAAGTAAACTTTTTATTATTAAAAAATAGATTATTAAAGTATAGGTCAAGTGGCTTAGTTTTGTCATGCCCCTCAATTTTTTTACCGGAATATCTTGATTTAAGTTATTCAAAAAATGACAAATTCACATTAACATTCTTGATAACACAGAAATAAATATGATATCCATCATAATATTTCAAATTAAAAATATGATGATGAAATTGACATATCGATAATAAATATATATATATTTTTAGATTAACGATTTATCATTCCAAAGTAACGAATATTAACTGAGACATTATTGCGTTTTAATCAATCGCTATGAACATTTGGTTGATAGTTTCTTGTACAATTCGATCTTTTCAACAAAGAAAACATGTAAAAATTTATAAATATTTTTTGAATAACAATTTTGGCTTTTTTATTTTTAATGGATACTTAAATATATTTTTTTGCCGAGAAAAAAAAATTAATAAAAAAATAAAAATAAAACATCGAAAAATATATTTTTTGAACTTTATGTTGAAGTTACCAATTGTCCAAATTACGAAATGTCCTTTTACCTTTTCCCATTGACTGTCAAATAAAACAATATTTTTATTTATTAATCAGTTTATAATTATAAGTTTGTTTTTTATGTGTTTATACATCTTCGATTTCTTCAAAAACGATGAAAAATACTTGTAAAAACTATAATATTTATAACTTATGATAATTATAAAAAAATAAACAAATAATAAATATTAATTTATTATAAAATATAGTTTATTGTATTACTTTTAAATTTTACACAATGTTTTTTTATATTTACACTTGAGTTTAAAAAGAAAATTGAGTAAATAAAAATTTACATTTATTTATTACATTGTATTTATAATTATTTGATTATAATTTTAATTATTATTGTTCAAAAACAAAAAAAATGTTCTTAAAAAGACAAAAAACATTTGTTATTGTCTAAACAATAAAACAGTCTTTCAAAAGCAGTTTCCAACTTCATGTTTGGCAAACGCATTTGTTTCAACTTGGAGAAAAACCTTCTCTAATTTACGATGAAATGCATTTGTGGATTCTTTTTTTTCTTCGTAATATATATTTCTTTTCTTCATTTGTCATTTTTCCCAAAGACTCCGCCAATGTTGTTAATTCATTTTTGATTTCTTGACCCAAGATATCCACGATATTTCCAATAGAGCTAGATGTTCTCCCAAACATTACCATCTCGTGTGGTGAACAAAAAACTTTGATTAATTCATCAAAAAAACATAATTATGGTTTTTTTCTAAATACATCAAGATCAACTTTTCCAATTTCCCAATTAGTAAAACGTTTGGCCCTCACCATATTTGCAGAATGGCTTATATGATGGAAACGTAAAAACACTGCGCTTTCAATCGTTGGAGTATTTTGTTCATAAACACATCTTTTGGTACAAGAATTTCGCTTATTTCGTTAAACTCGACCCAATTTCCAACTTCGATTTTTTTAGTAATATATTAATATATTCTTGGAACATTTCCATTCTCTCAATGTAATCAAAAAGAAGACAACCAACTTCTTGAAGCGAAGTGACGAGAGAAAATAAAATTCTGAAAATTTCTCTGACTTTAAAAAACAAGTCTTTTATTCTCTTTTCACTCATTACAAACTTTGTTGTTTGACGACACTCGGATGTTTCCTTGGGGTTGTCACTTGCAGTATTATTTATTTTCATGTGTTCTCTCCTGTCTGCTTTGAATATAGAATTTGATGTTATTTCAATTGCATATTTTTCAAACTCAAGAGTAACACTCTCAATTACTTCTGGTCTTTGAATGTATTTGGCAACATAATCATAATTGGTGGTGATGTCAAGAACATTTTTAAACAAATAACACCAACGAGTTGGTGAAAATGTGGCATGTATTTCATGGCCAATTCCTTCGTTTTCATTGTAATCATTAAGTCTTCCCTTGCGACAAAACCACTGACAAAACACTTTAACTAAAAGTATTTCTGGCTCAGCCTCTAATCACTCACCCATCAAACTTACTCTGTGAGCACTACACCAAAAATTTTTAATGTCAAAATCTATCAAGGGGCGCAAACATGGGTTTTCTTTGTTAATTAATTTGTTCATCTCGACGGTGATTCCTCCATCGAGAC